ATTGTTTCCATTGAATTCGAAATTGACAACTACAGTACTAGTAAAAGGTGATTTTCTGTTCGCTGTGAAATCTTGCTTAATGCGCGGACCAAACACAAATTGATGATGATTTTGAAATATGATGTTGAGATGCACTTACTCCAGCAAAATTGACCATCATCAAATGTGTTTAGCACATTATTAAGTTAGAAATATCCAAAAAATACTTTTGTATTTGTCAAATTCCACACAATATTTTCACACCACATTGATATGGTTTTTACATTCGATTTCATGCATAACATGGGATCTAGCAACGAATGGGAAAATGGTCTATTTATCTTCACGGGATACAAATTCTGAAAATTATGAAATATTGTAGAGGTGAAGATTTCTCCGACTTTTGTGTAATTTTCTCTCGCAAATGATCTAAAATCATGAAACAGAAAACAGCTGCAAAAAAGTAATGGTTTACAGTATATACTTGACGTCCTTCTGAATATAAACAAATAACTGAAATAATTAAAGTGCCACATTTACTGTGAAGTGCACGATAGAATTTTGTGTAAACAAACTTTTTTTTATACGTATTTTACACACATATACAAATCACAAATGGTAAAAGCTTTCCACTAAAATGCACTTCACTGTGTGATTAGCTGAATAAGAGTATAGATCCTACATCGCTGCATGCCACACGAGTGCTGTATATTATAATAGACTTCAACATGTTCTCCACAAGAATATGCTCAAGTAATATGGTTAATTAATTAATTCTTTCGTCTTGTTAATTAATTCAACTGTTGTCTTTTGGCCATGAGATGCTTGCATGGCTCTTGCATGAACACTGGTATGATAACTAGTTTGAGAAAGTAAATCGAATTAAAAAAACTGAAATCATCAAGACCACAGGAAAATGTGAATTACAATAACAACAATGGTGACAGCAACAATATAGATTTTACACCCTTTTTCATTTATAAATGTATATTCGCACTATATAATACATTATGATTTACCTTTTTACCATTAAATTTAATATTGGAAATCACCCATGTTCTAACCCTATTCTAAGATCTACAATAATTTAATAATACTACAATATTCACAACAAAAAATAATTTGATAAAGTTTTTAAAAACTTTTTTTTGATTGCATTTTTATCAGAGTATTGCATAAAAATATGATATAAATATCTGCAAAATGCTCTTCTCTATAAATTAAAAAACAAAAAAACAAGCAATAATTTACAATTTGCTGTAGATAAATCTGACATTTATGAAATGAGACATGATACAAAGTATTTTTGTTGGAATAAAGTTGAAACTGTACAGTTAACAAAACTTAGAAGTTAATATTATATCAAGTTTTAATGGTGAAATCAACGATTCAATTTGTGTAGGTGAATAATTACTGGCTATTGTTACTTTAATAAATGAAGCCGAACCTGTTTAAGAATAAAAGAAAGTTCAAGAAACCAATAAATGAAACCCATCCACCTGTAGATCTGCATAATAATGAAATATCTCTTTACAACAGGAAGTTGGATGAGATGAAATGCATGGGAGAACCACCATTATATTAAAGTATATATTCATCATTTGGCATGTGTTCCAATGTACTTTTTAAACATTGTATATGTCAAATGGAACGAACAGTGGTGTGGTGTGGTTCGATGCGGTGTGGCACAGCACGACACAGCAACTGTGGCACTGGTTATCTCTACATTATTTTGTTTAATTCTATTATACTTTTGATGTGCAATCACTTACATATGAGATACCATCACCATAGTAACAACTTCTATAAGCAAAGCTTACAGGCAAGTTTCATCCAGAAAATAGCATTATTAAAAATCTTTTGTAAGGAAGTGCAACACAAAAATTTTTGTTTGTCAGTTAAAAATTTGTAAAACTCAACTGAATGCCTTACCAGTTTCATTTTAAGTTGTTTTAAGTGTTGCACACCCTCTATTGGCAAAGAAATAAATTCGTTTGTTTTTATATATAGGAAGACTAAATACTTTATCTCAGAACAAAAATAGAATGTTTTTTGAGCACCACAACCTTGCACACTGGGTTGCATAATCAGGTTTGAGCAGGAAGACATTATCTGTAGTCATAGCAACTGTGTCAAGCTCTTAGACATTATCACTGAACACCACTACAACTGTGGTTCATGGGAGAAAAAGTCAGTTACTAATCTTATCCAGGTTGAAATTGCAAATACTAAAATTCAAGCAAGCAAGGCAATCACTCCAAAATTTATTAAATGTGTTTTGAATAAATATTTAAAAAAAAAATATGGGAACAATATTTGGCAGGTATTCCCACATAAGTAAAGGATGGAAAGGTTTCTTTTTTCAAATCTGACAAATTTTACAGCAATAAAGAAAATATTTATATTTTAAAAATGTGACTGACATGATTAGTGAAAAGGATATTGAACATTGTGGAGAAGTTAAAATAATGTCAAACAGACTACCCCGATACTGTTATTCACAGCAAGATACAGTACAGAGTAATCAACTGACAATGTAAAATGTCAAAAGAGCACAGTAACAAGGGATTGACAAACGTTGATTTCTGATTTGTTTAGTACGATTTTGAATAATTATGAATATCAAAGAAACTAAAACTTACCGATCACATATATCTATTTCAAAGTCAATGTAACAGAATAAATAATCTGTTTTAATTATACATATTGTATACCAGCATTCATTGTACTCGTTAATTAAGCATAATGGAAGAGATTGAAAGCAAAGGTGACATTAAAAATAATAAACTTTGAGTTGCAGTTAAGATCTTGGTAAAATGACGCCCTCTAGTGGCAAACTGGTTATGTGATGTAATTATGTTTAAGGGATGGTGTGTTAGTAGTCTTTATTATTTTCATCTGTAGCTGTTTGGTAAATAAGAAAAAATATCTGCAATATGCTAAATAATGAACAAGTACACAGGGAAACAGTGTTGTCTTTTTAAAAAAAATTGCTTTAACCCATAGAGAATTTTCCGGAAGTCAAAGAGTTTCGCATGCACGTATATACTGGATATGGGGTTAATTAATTTTTGTAACATGCTGACTGACATGTTTTTATTTGTCGGCATAACAGGTGTCTTTCTTTACTCCAATCGTGCTATATACAGGAAAAGTGGTCTCTTTCCGTCATTTTAACATCACAAAGTCACTTTGTCACTAGAGGGCTAGACTTGAACAATTTTATATCAATCGTGATGTATCAGCTTGGAAACAATAAGAAAATATGCAAATCTTTCCATAAACAATTTTCACAAGCGATTGTCAATCCCGTGCAGGAGCCCATTTGAAGACCTCGTCAACACTTGCTTCAGATTCAAATCAATACTGTAAAACATGTTGAAATAGCCACATGCTATTTTAGCCAATTTGAGTCATGAATTAATACTAGTAAAATGACTAAATTTCACTGGGTTTAAATTTCACTGATTTATCATTTCCGGCATATTCAGTGGGTTTTAAATTCACGGTTTCGTCATTTAGATAATGTGTTCTATGCTAAATTTCACATATTCACTGTGTTTTAATTTAGCGCATTTTTCTAGTCAGCAAAATAAGCCAAATTAAAACCCAGTGAATAATTAACCCCTTTACAGTAGAAGTGACAACTATGTCATTGTGAGAATATACCTTACTGCTGCACATTCTGAAGTCAGTGTTGTGTCAATAAACGTATAGGTTAATTCCTGATACTGTAAAATACTTTATTCTCGCTGAAATTAATTATTCGCTGAAAAGACTTTTTGGGTGTTTTGTGTGGAATTTATTTTCACTGATTTTTGACGAGTTGAATGTAAAATATAGGAAAAAATGTATATTTGCTGGATTTTAATTTCACTGAATCATTTCTTCAACGAAAATAGCGAAAATTAATTCCAAGCAAAAATAAAATATTTTACAGTCCTTAAATTAGAGACATCTTGAATTAGCTAAAATAACATGCTAGCCTAAAAAAGCCATGTTTCACAGTACTTTACACTAATGTATCTAATTGTTTATATCACGTCACTTTCATCACATAATCCACCCATACTATATACCTTATATCATGTCATGTGACCAACTACAACCAATCAGCAAGCATCTTATCCATCTTCTCATTACTGGTACGTTACCCGAAGAATTACATGTACCAAATTTACTCCAAGTGCTTATGGTCAAAATAGGTAATATTCTGATCAAACATACAGCACCGTAAATGCAATTTTTGATTGATGTACCCTTGTACTGAAGATGTGCTTTTAATAGAACAAATACAGTATATCTCAAAATTTCAGGTCAATTTGGTAGCAGATGAAATTAGACGTTGATAAACAGTTTTGAATAACATGAACAAAATGATAAGTTAAAAGGTGTCGTGACTGAATGTGATATATAATGAGATATATGTAAATTAAGGTAAAAAGTGTATCAAAACACCAATGTACTCACAATACATTTTATTAAAATTTACTGACAACCTTAATGTTTAACCTTTTCACCACCAGACTTTATCACTGTAATTTGTTTGCACTTGTTTGTTATACTGTAGAATACTTTATTTTCGCTATTTTCGCTGAAGGGATGATTCCGTGAAAATAAAATCCAGCGAATATACTATTTTCCCTATATTTCCTATTAAACTCATTAAAAATCAGTGAAAATAAATTCCATACAAAGCGCCCAAAAAGCTTTTTCAGCGAAAATTAATTCCAGCGAAAATAAAGTATTCCACAGTATTCTGGAAATAAAACCTAATTCTGGACCCAACAGACAAAATGTTCGTCAATTTTTAGTCAAACTATTTTTGTCACAATCTTCTGAAGGAAATTGCAGACTATAAACGAGACTGGTGGAAAAGAGGCAACTGGTGATGAAAAGGTGAAATTGTTATATGTGTTCTATTAAAAGCAAGACAAGATTACATAAAAGAAACAATTGCACTTACTGCATATGACTTAGTTTGTCAATTAATTTCGCAACAGACAAATTTTTGCTAATTTCGTGAGACAATAGTAATCACACTATGGTCATAAAGATATTTAAAGTGTAGTTTGATAAAGAAAGTTTTGGATAAATAAAATTTATAGGTTTCAAATAAATTTGAAACATTTTTGCTTATCGTGAGGAAGTCTGGTTTTGAAAAGGACAGAGTCCACTCGAAATTGGGTATAGAGTAACGGCATATAACCGAAGACTTTGGTGAAGAAATTCATACATTGATGGCGTTCCTGAAAGTGTGAATCATCAGAAGAAAGCGCTTGTGGACATCCTGGGCATCGAAATGTCCATCTTGAGGTAACCTAGAAAACATGGATAAAATATGAGTTACATTATTGTCAACGATACACATACATCAATATAGTGATAACAAAGCCAATTCTTTCACAAATTGTACCCACTACTTTTTAAAAATATTTTCTTGAGCTGTAACTGGTCCTTCAACCGAATGGTGTCATGTAACAGGCTATTTGGTTGGTTCTCCAGCCGAATGGTGTCATGTAACAGGCTGTTTGATTGGGACTCCAACAAAATGGCGTCATGTAACAGGCTATTTGGTTGGTTCTCCAGCCAAATGGTGTCAAGTAAAGGCTGTTTGATTGGGACTCCAACAAAATGGCGTCATGTAACAGGCTATTTGGTTGGTTCTCCAGCGAAATGGCATCAAGTAACAGGCTGTTTGATTGGGACTCCAACAAAATGGTGTCATGTAACAGGCTATTTGGTTGGTTCTCCAGCCAAATGGCATCAAGTAACAGGCTGTTTGATTGGGACTCCAACAAAATGGTGTCATGTAACAAGCAATTTAATTGGGCCTCCAACATAACATTATTTTTTTCCTGATTTACCCATTCAGAAAAAATAAAATAAATAAATATGTTACAGTATCAGAATTAGACACCTGGAATGTGACAGCAATTCATGTACTTGAATATTATTTCTTCTGCCATTACATTCCTATGTTGTATAAACCAAACACAGTGCATTTTGTCTTAGAAGCCATATTTCATGCGTGTGACTACACGACAGGGCGATTTAATGTGCTCGATGGTATCCCAGCGACAATCAGGCTCAGTTGACCAGGCACCTGCATGTCTCTCTTTTGCAATACAATTTGTATTCAACCATAATCCAAAATGATATCATTAATCCCACAGCAATCATTATGACTTGCAAGATGATATTGGAAGACAAGTCACAACAGCAAAGACACTACGTTGAATCCTTTATTGCCTTGATAGCATTTCTAACAAGTCATTTGTCACTGTTGTGTACTTTTTCAAAGTGATCTCTTACAAGCTAAACACGCACCAGACATCCCAAGGAATGAAAAAATGCAATTTCAAACAATTGAATAAAAGCCCTAGATAAATTTGTCAATTAAAGTTAGTATACTGGTAGATTACATCAGTAGTGTTACAATTCTTGCTTGCAGTATGATGGCTGATACGAGAAATGCATGTCTTTATTATTTATCACGACTGACACATATATAACATTGTCGCTAACCATACTGTGATTTTTTTTTGCTGCTAGTGGGATAGCTTACAGTATAATCGTGCAAAAGGCCATGGTGAACAACAGTGTCATATGAAGGACATGATATTAAAATGAACTATGTGTGTATGTGTGACATACTAGTAATGTATGGAATTGGTCAAGGCATGTCAGAGATATGACCCAGGAACTGCACTAGTGAAACTAAAATGGCCACCAGTCGGCCATTTTGAATTTGATCTGCTAAAAAATGATGTGCATCAATACCTGATATGTTCAATATAAAAATATATCCATGCATGACTGACATCTGGATCCAGAATGGCGGATATCATTTATTAATTTTTATTATTTTTATTTTTATAAATTTTTAGCACTAAAATTTAGCGATCTTGAATTAGAACACAAAACAAATGCATATGCATATGTGTGACGTGATGAATGTCTGAGATACAGGTGTGAACAGATGCACTGAGGTGAAACTAAGTCTCTGTTTTCTGAACTTGACGAATAATGTGAGAAAGTACAAAATTCACAGCTAACATTCAACTTACCTTGATTGGAGGTTGTCTTGTAATGTGAGAAACTAAGAAATTCATCGCTAAATCTTCACAATTAATGTATTCATCCACCATATCACGGATTTCCTGTGGCATCCAATATGTGTACAGATAGGCATAGTACTGGAGGAAAGACGTTTCAAACACTCATTTAGTATACATCACTAATGTATTTAGGTAGAATTTACTTCACATAGAATGAATTTAGCAAAATGACATCACCAAGAATCACATTTTTTTTAGTTATTTCGGGGAACGATTAGAAATTGGCATATTTATAACTGTCACATTTAAATAATTTTGCAATGCCTTTGATTGAATGAAAATGAGTATTGAGAAAAAGTAAAAAACAGTTGAAAACAAATTGAATGAGAAAAAAAAGTAAAAAAAAGTAAAGTATCGATATTGAGTGACAGTGAAAGTAAAAAGTAAATAGTACAAAATAGACAGTCAATTTTGCCAGCTGCTGCCCTCTGCAGACAACACTGCTCTGTAAAACATGCTGATCTTATTATTCTAGTTGTCCACACGGTTGTAAGGCTACTGAATTAGTATGTGTGGTCTGTGTGCATTAGGCTACTATAAATGTGATCAGTTTCTCGCCATGATTCAATAATTACCTTATGAAAGAAAGCAGCACCAGTGAGGACCATAGAAAGTTCACACGAATAGTTCGAGTTATATAACCATCCATTGTTGATGTTTGTATCCCAGGCATGGAAACGACCTGGAAACCCTACAATACGGTCACGAGCTTCTCGCCAAACCCTGTAACAAAACATATAGAAATCAACTATTAGATACATATCTAAACTGAAAAAAACTCATTTATAATGACCTCTTAAGGTTATGATAAACATGCCTAAACTTATGAATTTGTGCAAGTTCTCCATTTATTCTCAATTTAGTTTTTTACTGTCAATTTATTCTCAGGTTCTTTTCCCAGAAGTTTTTCAATGCACCATATTTGCTCCTTCATTGGCATATGTGGTTACGTAAATATCAGAGATGTGTATATGGTTAAAATAAGTCAGATCTGAATATTTCAGCATATAATAAATGTAAATGTTTGGTGTATGTGAGCTTTTCTTGGAGATATATTTCTAAGAGTGAAAGTACGATATTTGCCCTTTATTTTGACTGTAAATCATCCTGTATACAACCAAAGGAGCTGTTCAAGTAATAATCAACTGATGAGGTGAAAGGCCAAAGGTCAAATAACATTCACAAACCTATGGAGTAGCCAGTCAGAAACAATCGCATTGTAAATATGCACTGTGTAACCTAAAGAGTACCAGGAGAGTAGCCAATCAGAAGCAATCTTATAAACAACTTTCAACTCACACAGTAAAAATGTAAGGTGTTTCCTGATTGGCTTGATGTGAAGCTGAGGATTTGCCATTCAACTTTACAGTTTACTAAACTATGTAAATACCAGTAAACACAAACTGTACATGTAACTCATTAATTCTTTGAATGCCATAACTGTTCCTGCTAAAACAGTACGTTTTCTATAATATTTTGCTTAAGTTTGAACCAGATAGATGTAATTTCCTACTGACTTTGGTGTCGATGGATTAAACTACTGGCGTCATCATTTCACCAACGGTGATTCAATACAAATACTGCTACCATACATTTTATTCAGCTGAATGTGAGATTTCTGAACAGTGGAACAATTACAAAAGGTGAAAATTTGAAAAAAGTTTCTTAAACAGTGTTGAAGGACTGTGGTTTAGTTGTACATACATTGAATGGAAAATACCTGTTTCAGATCAATCAATACCCGAGCACATTACGAATATGTCTACATTTTTTCCTCTATATCAAATGATCCATGAATTTTATAACAATATTTAATTCAGGACGGCTCTTTACTGGGTACTTTGTTTTCCACGGTCTGTCGAACATCATAGATCATTTAGATAAGCAGTCACGCTTAACGATAAACCAGACAGCTTTCCTTGCATGAGCTTTGTTTGACAAAAACATTTTTCCCCTAAAATATTTGTTTTCTGGGTGTGTTTAAGATTTTGGGCACAGAATTGTAATTGATGATGTTAAAATTGTTGACAGACATGTCCATGCTTTTAAGTGCAGAACATTAAGAATTTGGAAATACTTTTTTAGAATTTTATAAGATAATACATTTTGTGTATATTATTCTTCAAGTCAAAACGACATCATCAGACAAACTTTTGGATTTCATTGCTGAAAATTACAGATAAAATTAATTTCTGGCATTGACCACAGATATAAGCAAATATTTTTCAGAACATTATCATGTGACAAACAAATGCACATCAAAGTAATAACTCCCTCATCTGCACAAAGAGAATCCTGGGATGACTGAAGCACATACACACATTAAAACGACAGTGACACCCAAACAGATTTTAGTATAGAGACTAAAATAGAATTGAAACTAAATTGGAATATGAAAAAAAAAACATTGCGGGGTGGGGGTCAATGATTGTATTAACTGAAAAGATCACGTACAGGGGGGGGGGGATAGGTGTCTTTTTGTTTGTAGAGTTTTCTGTATTGTTTTGTACGAGTAATTTATATAGATTTTGAGATATCACGTTATAGGGATAAGATAATGAATTAAAAATATGCGGTCACTGTACAAATAAAATTCAGTGAAATGACATGTTTCGTCTGTTTTGGGGGCATGTTACCATTGTTTCTCATCGCAAGGATATATATCATTATCTCAAAATTTTGTTCAGTGACATATGGTGAAAAAATGATATGTGGTGTTACAAAAATTAAAATATTTTTAGTGGGTTTTTATCGAGGAAATCTGTGTTTATCGAGGTCTAGGAAAACCACTGTTAAAATGACATTTAATGAATATTATTTTACCGTTTATCCCAAAAAACAGATTGACAGTGAACTAAAAGAACTTCACATACCATACTTTTGACTACTGTTAAATCTCTATTAGAAGCTGCATTCCTAATAGAAGTCACACCCATTCTTTTTGAACAATTGAGAACCAAAAATTCATCATTTCTCATACACTGTATGTACAGATGCTCTAATGGAAACTGCATCACCATTTTAATACAAGTCGCAGTTAAAATACAGATTTTACAGTAATTCTAAAACGATTAATTGAAACAAAATATGTGCTACATGTAAAAAAACTCGTGAGTAGCATCTTCAAACAGCGCACAAAACCTCATTGAAGCACAGAATTATTTTAGAAACTGTCATGTCATCACCTGTATCGACCAACAGCTGGACGTTATTAACAACAACGGATCAGTGGTAGACAGTGGCGTGTAATGCGAGAATGAATGATTGTTTTTAATCATAGATTGATTGTATAATGACCGGATCTTATCTGATTGTATCATGTATCGAACATCATGGAGTTCAACACCTCAACTTTGAATGGAAGTACTGTTCTTTAGGATTATTGAGTTACCTTCACCCGAGATGATTGATAAGATTGTTATCACGTTGTCCAACTGACAACACTCATGTCGTCTATCACTATCATGTTTCGTGACATATGTATATGCATGTCACATTTTATCATATAAAACTGATAAAGATACAAGTAGCTCTGAAGAAGAATAAAACTGAGGTGCTTCCATAACCTTTTCACCACCAGTTTCCTCTTTTCATCACAAAATAGTCCTGTTTATAGTCTGCACTTTCCTTTAGAAAATTGGGACAACAAGCCATGCATGGCACAGTCCCCGTTAGTTATCAAATTTAAGATATAAAGTTTTGTTTATAGTAATATAGCTGGAATATAAACATGTCAGGAATATGATGATTGTTTAACATTTAAATGATTGACATTTGTATCTGATCGTCAAATGAGTATTGAGAGATATTGCTCTAGAACAGCATTAATTAAAACAAAATCAGCCATTATGAATATATGTATAATGAATATATGAAATTTGAACATAGTCAGTTAAAGCATGTCAGAGATATGGCTTTAGAAGCCCATTCATTAAAACAAAGTGACCACTAGTCAGCCATTCAGAATCCGATCTAAAAAATAAAACAATTTTTTTAGCACAAAAATAGCCACCATTAGGCCACTTTAAAAAGGATCGTCAAACCAATATATCCGTATATCTGTGACATGATGTATAATGAATATTAAAAATTTGAACATAATCAGTCAAAACAAGTCAGACATATGGGTCTGGAAACCCATTCATTAAAACAAAATGGCCACCGGACAGCCATTTTGAGTCTGATCTGAAAAATAAAATTATTTGCATCCAGGTCCCATAATGTCTAATGTATATATCAAGTTTGAATAAAATCCATCTGTAAACAGCCGAGAAATGCTTGATTTTATGATTTTTTAGCCCAAAAATGGCCGTCATTCGGCCATCTTGAATCAGATCGTGCAACAAAATGAAGTGCATCAAGGTCCTATAATGTCTAATGTATATACCAAGTTTGAACAAAATCTATCTGTAAACAGCCGAGAAATGCTTGATTTTGATGATTTTTAGCACAAAAATGGCCGCCATTCGGCCATCTTGAATCAGATCGTGAAACAAATTGACGTGCATATGTATGATATCATGTATGATGTATGTGTAAAGTTTGATTGTGATTGGTCCAGGCATTTCTAAGATACAGGTCCGGACGCACGCACGCACACACGGAGGTCAAAACATAAGTCCCCGTTTTTGTCCGAATGGGGACTAAAAATAGCCAATTTTTTGGAGAAAAATTGAAAATAGGCTCAAATTTTGTGTGTTGGCTCCAAAATTTGGGTTCATTTCCAGAAATATTGAAGAATAAAAAAAAAAGTGCTGAAAAAAATGGGCGAGAAAGTCTAGTGGTGAAAAAGGTAAAAGGAAAAAATAGTATTAGCAAAGACAGCTAAAGGTGCATTTGTTATCATAGTACAATTAGCTCATTAGCTAATTACCAGCTTGTTTAGCCACTAGGTAAACAGGAAAGAATCATATTGGCAAAAGTACCATTACAGCTAATCCTACATTGTTTTATTCCTGCAGTGGAATAGTTACTAACACAAAACCTGTTATTACTAGATTATCAGCCAAATACGTCAAATGATAATAATATTTAAATTTAATATTAAAATTTATGACAGTAATCTGGTAACTGGCAGGAGGAGTATAAGACAGAAAAATCATATTTAATGTTTTTTCATTTATATACGAGAGCTCAGTCCTTCCATAAGTAGTGGGGGTTGAATTATGTGAACCCTTCCTCAAATATAATGGTTTGTTATTTAAAATCTCAAAGCTTATTGACGATATAAAAATTCAAGTAGAGTGAAAGAAACAACAATGTGACTTTTTTTGTACATAGACAAGAGGTCTATGTAAAAAAACGTGGGTCTTTGGTTTGTATATTTATACTTACTTCAGTGGCAATGAAATGATTTCGAAGTTTTGCCCTGATCGGATTTGATTTGGTGTTTCTAATAACAAGATAATAATCAACCACACTAATTTGTTGTTTGATTCAAAAGATTTTTCTGTGAACATTTCCCATAATGCAGTGTGTGATTGAAAATGTCCATGTTCATATTTGAGATTCCTAGATGAGACACCTGTCATGGTATCCGGCACCCATCACAATTTTCAAATTCACAAAAGTGGATTACAGCAGTCACTGAAAAGAATAAACATTGGCAAAAACAACATTTATTTAAATATTTAAAAAGAAAATCTTTTTAACTATACACTTCATATTTACATTGCCCATAGTTGCCAGGCAACCCAGTTCATGTTGTAAAGTAAAGTTGCTATAGGAATTGATGAGATGTTGTTTCCCATTGTTTGATTAGTCATTTCTATAATCACTGGTGAATATTCCAATGAATATAACAATATTACAGATAAACTGATAGGAAATAATGGTTTTCACATTTTGCACATTTCATTGCCTTTTTTTATAATATCTTTATTAATTTTGAATCAAATTGACATAAATACCTATTTGCATCAGAACTGTGAATGATGACAAAAGTAAACTTTGAAAACTTTCAAAAAAGTTAAAGCAATTCACAGTCCTAAAACATATCTTTATTCTTTTTGAGTGCACTTTGAATACCATGTCCCCCCCCCCCCCCCCGAAAAAAAATGGTAAAACATTTTCCACAATTTATGCTAATTTCCTTGTTAATTTTGGATCAAATGGACATAATTTCCCATTTGCTTCAGGTCTTGACCAAATTTTAGGAAATAACATGAACAAAATTAGGGGGGTTGAAAAAATAAACATGCATGTATCTGTTCATAGCAAGATAAATTAATATTATTTGAAATAAAAATGTCATTTTATAGGTCTTATTAGAATCTTGAGACAACATATACCCCAGTTGGTCAGTAAGTAAAAAAATGATGTCTGCATTCATTTATCTATAGGGACAGGCAGCTTCTACATTCAACTGTCCCTGCTAAAATTCGTCTGTTTGGCTGGCTTTGGCAGGCATTAATTTGGACCTTTGGTTTAGAATGTGATTGACAACAATAAAAGCATTACATTGTCAATGTTGAGCTCAAGACAAATTAACAAAGCAACCAAACACCTGAGACAACAACTATAAACAAGTCAAGTGTTAGACAAACAAATAAAACACCTGTATGTTGACAGTGTAACCAAACATCAACATAGAACCTACCATAAATAGACCATAGACCACTGCGAGATCACACGATATGCGTGAAGTCGAACGTAAAAACAGGACAACCAAAGGTCATAGTGGTGACAAACATCGCATGAGATTTGACAAATGCCAAAGTATTTTGGGAATATTTCCATGCTTAATAATGTGCTGTACACATTTGATGATGGTCAATTTTGATGAAGTAAGGGTATTGAAACGCATTATTCCCCAGTCAAAGATCGGCCTTTCGATGTTTAACATCAAATCGTTTGATTTTTGTGGCAAACGTTTGATGTGCATCTTTCACACAACTCGCAAGATCTCGCAGTTGAATGGAAAATCACCTATTGGGTAACCAAGGCTCTGAATGTATAGCTACATGAGTTCAAAAAATAAATAACACGAGTCAATGTATTGTCTGTTCTTATCAGTAAACAGAGTTGTGATCAGACATACATAAAACATCTGTCAATTAAAAGTGGGTATGTGGAGACTTATTATTTACATATTACAGAATTATTTTTTATTTAAAAATTCAGAGATGGGATTAGGTTTTTGTGGCATACAATGATAGGCAGAAATTGATCATGAAGGAGGATTTTATCTACGAAAGCTGGCATGTCATAATTGTATCACTTACTTGAATTTATTAGTATACAATTTGAAATAAGTTCATCCTTTAGAAAGCTAATAGGAGCTAACATTAGGGGCTAATTTGGGCTAACAGGAGGCTAAAATTTGGATAACAATAAGCTAAGGCCTCATTTGGTATCTTACACATTAATCATTATCTTGTTCAATGACATATGTTGTTGGTTCCAGTTTGGTTACACATTCAGAGTGCAACAGGAAATACATTATTGCCTTTTGTGTAATGTGTTTACGTGAAATACCATACTAACTTTATCAGATATGCATTGACAAAACAAAAGAAATGCAGTGTTAAACAAACTAGCCCATTTCAGATACGCAATGTCAACACAGAAGGAATGTACAGTAAAGCTGACTAGCCCATTTCAGTTTGTCTTGGGCTGTTGGGAGTAGGGTTGCAGACATATTGATGGTCTGGTGCAACAGCCAATATACTACAGATACATACAACTGTAATCATGTATTTTTACCTAACATGTTATTGTAGCTAATTCAACACAAAGTTTTCTTCTGTCATAAGCCTAACAGTATGCAAATGCAAGAACTGCACAAAACAATTCCTGATGCATCGCTTCACACACAATTGTTTATTTGAGTGTCTGATTTATAAGGGGTCCACGTGCACCATACTTGCTCCATTAATAGGGCATGTGCTTAGGTAAATAAAAGGGGTGTGCCTATGGTTAAAATAAGTCATAATGATCCAGCATACAATATGAACACTTCTATTGAAGATGCACTTCTAATAGAAGAATTACAGTACTAAAATCGCATGCCCCTTCAAACAGAATGAGAGAAAACATAAAGTTTATTAGTCTCTTTAAATGCCTTAGTGCGACTTTATGATCAGTGATGACATCATACAGTAGCTGAGTAGCTGGCAGATGGTGCAACCAGAATGCATTTTTGCACAAATAACTAATCACATATTAGGAAAAAATGTTATTTGTAACACAGGTTTTCAGTGACTGTGATCAAATGAAGGAATATTGTGTTGCCACGTCTGAGTGTATGTTACTAAGGTGAAAACAGGTGTGGGGTGAGTTTACAGAGCATGGCGTCATTGTTACAAGATAAATAGACCATGGATAAACTGAAAAGCAATAAAATGTATATGTATGGTAGTCAGTCTTGTTACGCCCCTTGTTTGTTTAAGGTGTATAATTTGTAGCAGTTTGTGTGGTCTGGGGAGACATGGGAACTGGAACTAATGGCAATATATCATTTGATCAATGAGCCGCTGCGACATCACAAACGCAGTCATAGTTTAGCTTTTATCATCTCTGCTGAGTGAGTGAGCAGAGGATAACGGTTCAGAACAAGTGAAAAAGTCCTTAGTATATGATGCTGCATGTTGCATCAATAGTACACTACAAACACATAAATGATGTTGACAGAGACTAACCTGAAACCAAATAGAATTTCATCATGCCTGAGGTGGGCGTCATCGTCAATTGACAATATAGCCTCAGTCACTATTTCATCATATGGTAGAAAACGATTGTTCAAACTGTTTTTCTTTGTCTGAATTACCTAGAGAAAAAAAGAGACCAGTGTTAATCAGATGCATACATCCCATATATACAATCAGGTACTTGCACAATATCTAAGGGTCAAACATCCTGGTACTAACACAAATTCTAAAGGTTCATACATCCTGGTATATCCATGAACTCATAGGGTCATACATCCTGGTATGTTCATGGCATCAAAGGGTCATGCATCCTGGTATGTGCATGACCTCCAAGGGTCATGCATCCTGGTATGTGCATGACCTCCATGGGTCATACATTCTGGTATGTACATGATCTCCAAGGGTCATACATCCTGATATGTGCATGACCTCCAAGGGTCATACATCCTGATATGTGCATGACCTTCAAGGGTCATGCATCCTGGTATGTGCATGACCTCCAAGGGTCATACATCCTGGTATGTGCATGACCTCCAAGGGGCATACATTCTGGTATGTGCATGACATTCAAGGGTTATACATCCTGGTATGTGCATGACCTCCAAGGGTTATACATTCTGGTATGTGCATGACCTCCAGGGTCATACATCCTGCTATGTGCATGACCTCCAGGGTCATACATCCTGGTATGTGTATGACCTCCAAGGGTCATACATCCTGGTATGTGCATGACCTCCAAGGGTCATACATCCTGGTATGTGCATGACCTCCAAGGGTCATACATCCTGGCATGTGCATGACCTCCAAGGGTCATACATCCTGGTGTGTGCATGACCTCCAAGGGTCATCCATCCTGTACTTACATGACATAAATGGGACATACATCCTGATATGTGCATGACCTCCATAGATCATACATCCTGGTATGTGCATTACCTCCAAGGGTCATACATCTTGGTATGTGCATTACCTCCAAAGGTCATACATCCTGGTATGTGCATTACCTCCAAGGGTCATACATCCTGTACTTACATGACATAAATGGGACATACATCCTGGTATGTGCATGACTTCCATAGATCATACATCCTGGTACATGTATGTGCATGACCTCCAAGGGTCATACATCCGGGTATGTTCATGACCTCCAAGGGTCATACATCCTGGTATGTTCATGACCTCCAAGGGTCATACATCCTGGTATGCACATGACCTCCAAGGGTCATACATCCTGGTATGCACATGACCTCCAAGGGTCATACATCCTGGTATGTGCACGACCTCCAAGGGTCATACATCCTGTACTTACATGACATAAATGGGACATACATACTTACTTTGACATCAACATGTATTTCAGGCCAACCTAAATCTTGTGACGGAGGTTCTGGTGAATTCCACACAATTAGCACCTATGGTCAGAGAGAGACATAAATTTCAGATCACATATCCCAAGTAGGACAAAATATGGACATCAACTAAAACTACCTTGCCATCATACCAAATAACACATAGGAAGAATGCTATTTTTTCAACCACTTTCTAGTTTGAAAACACAAAAAGAAACAATATCAGACAGTACAATCATGTACACTATTTTAAAAAATAAAATAAAAAAACAAGAACTAAATAACCAATTCAAAGGTTGCTTACAGCCAGCGTACAGGAAACTCTCCAGGAAAGTTCATTGCAATATAAAAAGGCACTTTCTTGGCGTTATCAAATGATCTACTGATATGAAAACAATTTGCTACATTTTGTGACAATCTCACTTCGCGTGGTGCCACTTGATTTTGGACTATTTAATTTTTATCTAGGTATGTACATGTGTACTATGGCAAAGTTGTTGTGTGTTTATACCGTAATATTGCAAGATTGTTGTGACTATACAAAATTATTTGTAAATTATCCACGCATATCCACGCATATTTGCGGTCGCTTCAATCATCTGAGGGAAGTTGATGGGGGTTATTGAAACATTGATAAGAACTCTCCCAGGGAAATAGTGCACACTGTAAGCACCACAATTAATCAACTCGTGTAGCATTTATGTTGTAGTTAGTTTATAATCATGACCTTCAAACTCAAAGAAACAAAAAGTTTGCATTTAAAGTTCCAATGCACAATTACAGCATGAATAAAGGCCTTTGTGAATTAGGAAATGAAGCGTATTATTCTGTGTGTTGTGTCTATTGCAATAACTTGAGTTACTATAATTGAACAATGTGTGCTGTATTCACTGACCAACATCAGTGAATTTTGCATTGGATATCAAGACTGTGTTGCCGACAATGTTGACCCCGCCCCCTAATTTCCTGTAATGAGCAATGTGTGTGTGTACAAGTATTGTTGTGCATTTTTGCAGCACAGGACAAGCATTTCCATGGTGCATGTACAATATATCCTTTCGGCTGTAAATGCTACCTCTACATTTTGGAGAATAAAAGAGAACTAGTTACATAGTATTCAT